GGGGGGGGGGGCTGGTGAGCACGAAAGGCCGGAGGGAGGGGAGGGGGCAGAGGGGAGGGGGAGAGGGGTGGGCTGCGTGGGAGGCTCCGGCAAGCTGAAAACAAACGCAAACAAACAATTTAGACTGTGGGGAAAGTTGATTTCTGAGTCCATTAAAGGTCGGCAGGGAACTGGCCTGAGAGCATCCCTGAGCGCTAGAAAGCCTGTGTTCTCTCCACATCCCCAGAGCAAGAAATGCGGGACTTGTGGACTGAAATTGACAGGCAGGTGGGGCCACAGGCCGGGGCAGTTAGAAGTGCAGCTTTGCAACCCTCTCTAACCAATCCTCCCTCCAAATCTCAAAAGGAGCTTGCTTAAGGAAAAGGATCCTGCAATGACAAGTCCCCAGCCCACTCCGCCTCTTCCCTGCCTTGGGTGAGCACGAGCGCCCTGGGGATGCTCCATGAGGAGAGCTTTCTTTCTTTCTGTCAGACACTCAAGGGCTGCTGCTGCTGCTGTTGTTGTGGTTGTTGTTGTTTAGCGACTGAGGTCTGCTCCCTTTGGAAGTTAGAGCTCCCAAGGGTTTTGTCTATTAGGGTCACTACTGGAAATTCTGGCATCACCTATCCAGGCAAACTTTTCTATCTTGAGGAAAGCCCTTCCTTTTCACTTTTAAAGGAGAGCAAAGCAAGAGGTTGCACGGTGTCAGAGTGAATCATGCCTTGTAGCTCCCATCTCTAAGGGGAAACAGCTGAAACCTGGGAGGAGGGCTGTCATCTGGCTCCAGTTAGGTCCTCGTGCCTGCTCTGAAGTCACAAAGAAGTTGGGGACTTGTTGTTGCTCTTTGCACTGTGTCTGTGTGTGCTGTAAACAGGGCTTCACATCAAAGGGGAGAGAGAAATGACGCCTGCTTAAAATGTTGCTGAGTTGTTTGTTGGTTTGTTTTAACTGTAGGCATTGACGGTCGTGGTGTTTCCGTTGGCTCCAATTTTAAAACCCCTTTTAGTGAGCCCTAGCAGAGGGTTTCTTTCTCTTTTTAGAAAAGAGAAGCAGTATCGTCTCAGTTTCTCATGATAAAACATCATGATTTCAGATGTCAGGCTACCCCAGCCTAATCCAGCAAAGCGTTACATGGTTTAAAAATGCATCATGGCATTTTCCCATTCCGAAGGATATCTAAAGGGGGGGGGGTCACTATGTGCAGTTTCATGGAATTAAGTATTTATTTTTAGTCAGGATGTTTCTAAAACGTCTAGAAACGTTTTAAGAGAAGGAAGACAGTTTAGACAGCACTGGGGTTCAGGTGAGGCCCACAGGGGTATGGGAAACCTTGGACTTACAACCCTTCTAAGTTGATTTTCTAGTATTTGTGAGAGATGAGTTAATGAAATGTGTCAAGAAATGACAGTAGGACAATAACACAAGCAAGAACCCAAACCCTTGGGTACTTGAATAGTGAGCACAGGAGTCTAAGTATGGACAAGAACATGAAATGTATTTTTATTTTGTAAGAGTTCTTCATTCGTCTAAAGATCAAAACTTAATGTGATGGGCAGATGTCACCACACCAATGGGCACTGCTGATTAATATTCTGTAATCTTAACTTTTATCACTTCTAAATGACCTACAAGTATACTTAATTTAGCATATATTATACATATTCAAAGAATTCACAGACAACACAGCTATAGTCCTGAACATGTATTTGTTCATATTTTTAAAAGCATGTAAAATCTAGCATAGGTTCAGAAATCCAGAGGGATAATAAGATCAAGGCTTAACTTGTTTTAAGAATGATTGGAGGATAGGAGCATTACAGATCTGATCTCATAAAGAATTTCTCAAGCCCTTGATGCACTTCTGTCTAATAAGTATCTTCCAGGGTCCAGTGTTAGGACAGTTGACTGTCAAAATGCAAAATCCATTTTCCACCTTAACCTGGCTTCAGTAACCAGCTGGGGCCTGCTGGCTCTGCCCTGGCGGGTGGCTAAGATAGCAGGCTTCCCGGCTCCGTGACGACACCTTCCAGCTTCACTGGGCCATATCATTTGAAGGATATGTAGTGGCGTCTGACCACTAAATGCTTACAAGTGTCATGGATGCTGCAAGAATCTGATACTTCTGCGGTAGGAAGAAAAACTGTATTTTTCCTTAAAAGCGGAAGACGCAGAGAAGAAAACAGTTCCTGTGAGCCTATTGATGATCTCAAAGTAATACAAGTTCAATTTTGTTCCATTATTGACAACTGTGGCATTTTAATTTTTCGGGATTAATTACATTGTTCCAATTTTAATGCGCAGAAAGAATGTAAGGCTACCCATCAGGATCT